AATTAAAATTGAAAGTGGGTGCAATCATCATGCTATTGAGAAATCTCAATAGTAAATGGGGTCTTTGTAATGGTATCACGTTTATTATCAAAACATTATGACCTAACATTATCGAAGCTGAAGTATTAACAGGATCTTCAGAGGGAGAGGTTGTTCTGATTCCAAGAATCAATTTCTCCCCATATGACACTGGCCTCCCATTTAAATTGATTCGACGACAGTTTCCCGTGACGCCAGCATTTGTGATGACTATTAATAAATCACAAGGACAAACTCTAGACCAGTGGTTCTCAACCTTCTGGCCCTTTAAATACAGTTCCTCCGGCCCCAGTGAGGTCAAGACTGCCCCAGTGAGCAGTGAGGTCGGGATGGCCCCAGTGAGGTTGGTACAGCCCCGGTGAGGCCGAAATGGCCCAGGTGAGGTCAGAATGGCCCTGGTGAGGTTGAGATGGCCTCAGGGGCTGGAATGGCCCTGGTGAGGTCGGGATGGCCCCGGTGAGATTGAAACGGCCCCGGTGAGGTTGAAACGGCCCCGGTGAGGTCGGGACGGCCCCGGTGAGGTTGAAACGGCCTCGGTGAGGTCGGGACAGCCCTGGTGAGGTTGAAACGGCCCCAGTGAGGTTGGGACAGACCCGGTGAGGTTGAAATGGCTCCGGTGAGGACTTATATGCATGCATATAAGAATAACCAATGGCCCCGGTGAGGCTGGGATGGCCCCGGTGAGACCAAAACAGCCCCGGTAAAGTCAGAATGGCCCCGGTGAGGTTGAAACGGCCCCGGTGAGGTCAGAACGGCCCCGGTGAGGTTGAAACGGCCCTGGTGAGGCTGAAATGGCCCTAGTGAGGTCGGGACGGCCCCGGTGAGTTTGGGACAGCCCCGGTGAGGCTGAAATGACCCTGGCGATGTACGGCACCGGCAGGGTTGAGACAGCCCCGGTGAGGTCGGGACAGCCCCGGTGAGGTTGAAACAGCCCTGGTGAGGTCGGGACGGCCCCGGTGAGGTCGGGACAGCCCCAGTGAGGTCAAGACGGCCCTGGTGAGGACGAAACGTCCCCAGTGAGGTTGGGACGGCTCCAGTGAGGTTGGGACAGATAATGGGGACCAGTATAGACTGATGAACAGGTGTGGATGCAGAGGCAGAGCAGCACTGAGCAGACT